TACTAGGGGCTCCTCGCATCGATACTAGGAGCATGGACGCTACTAGGAGTACGCCTTCGACGGTCTCGGCGATGCTGGAGGCTTCGGCGAGCGGGTCCAAGAGGGTGTCTTCGCGGCTGCTGTTGCCAGAGAGTTTGGACTTGTACATGGCCAAGCCATCAAACGGGAAGACCTATGTTACCTTCTGGGCCTAATATCTCTCTCTCTTTCTTTCTTTCTCTCCCTCGCTCTTCTAGCTGGAAATTGTGGGGAGGTGGTGGGCCAACTGACGTCACAATGTACCGAACAAATCTTAGAATTCTTTACGCAACTGAGAGGAACCACGTGTATAGGATGAAACAGGAGAGGAGGGTCCAAGAGAGTGTGATTGTGCATTCACTAGTTGAAGCACACCCGGCGCTTCAGATATCATCGGCTATCAGGGTCTATCGGGTCAAGCTGAGTTTCTTGAAAGAATAAATTCATCATGAACGCTCCTTGGCACCGGCATCAGGGTTTGCTGCTACGTAGGACTGGCTGCCTTTGGACACGTATTTTTCATTGACCTCACGATGATCCAGGTGTCGTGCTTGGATCAGGCGCTCCTTGCAAAGACCAGTCAGTCAGGTCAGTCTCCGTTCTGCGATGCTACAGAATTGTGTTTGAAGTGTAGCATTCGAACCCTGCTTGCTTCCATACAGATTCCAATGCTCCTGCTCTTCCAAGATGGCCCCAAGCATGTCTCGATGCCTCGGAACACTTTCAGAAGCTTGCATGCAGAGCTTTCAGCTGGCCTCTATGTCTATGTGGCACGCAAAAGTGCAGTGTTTGGTGCTTGTCCAGCGCATTGGTCTGGTCATTTGGTAGCGGATAGCCCCACTGTCCCTTCCAGGTTGATTCGTCGAGCTCGCTTGCAAGCTTGCGCCTTGAAGGTAGTTGGACAAGACCAAACATTGAGCTGTCAACAGGAAATGAGGCAAAGTGACAAAGACTTTTTAGCTCGGGACAAAAACACTCTGAGTCCAACTGAACAAAACATGTGATGGGAAAGGGCAAGGGTGGGTGGTCAATAGTTTCGGCGCAATTCCACTGTCCTTGCAGGCAGCTGTGGTGGCTTTGCAGCTTCTCGGTTTTCTTTTTTGTCTGAAGCTTGAGTCGAGCTCTCAAGCTTCTCCTCTGGACCTTTATCACGAAGTTCAGGTTGCTGATGTGTATCCAGTGTATCCAGCACAGCTCCGCTGGGGGTGGCGACAAAGCGTGTGCACTTCTCGCCAGAGTACATCTGGGTCACTCTCGCAATGAGCTCACGACTCTCGTCCGCCTCTTCAGTAGATGAGGCGGTCTCCACTGCACATTTGGCACATAGCTCACTGTCGCAGGTGCTGCAGCCAAAAACCACTTCTCCAGGCTTTTGCATGGTATCGCAGGTGTCACAGAGTGCTGCACTTCTGGCAACGATGTAGCCTAGATGTGGTTGGATTCCAAGGGCAAATGTCGTAACTAAACAGCAAAGAACGCTGCATAAGTTCAGAAGGTTTCAAACGTTTCAAAAGGTCACCACCAGCTCTGCGTGTTGCTGCACTGACAAACAGCGCGCAGGAGTCTGGAAGATTGTACGTTGAAAAGGCAATAGGACCAGTACACTACACTAGTGAAGGTGTCGGGCCACCAACGTCTCTATAACAAGCAGTGCCTTTCAGTAACAGGAAGGGGAGAACTCTTGCCAGGTAGCAAAAGAGCTGATGACCGTCAGGGCAGCAACGCTTTGACGATACTGATGCACCGGAAGCTGCTAGCCGCAGTGCAGCACCTGCTTCTAGCGGCAGGAGTTCCATCTCTGGTCTTGGAGACCTGGCTGAGAAGGAGCTGCAAAGCTGAGAAGGACATACATATCAGACTGTTTGTTTAACATAGTTGAATCTAGGTGATACCAATTGAATTTATCTTCTTCACTTCTTGTCCTTGAGACTTGGGCTCGGGCTTTGCCCGTGGGGGAGCTTTGGGCAATCCAAGAAGGTCACGCTCCGCCTTCGGCAAAGTCAATCACACACACTTTGCCGTTTGACGTCTTTGGTCTCAATGGACCCTAATAGCGATGGCCTCCATCCTACTGGCGATGGCCTCCATCCTAACTCCATCACAATAGCAATGGCCTCCATCCTAATACGATGGCCTCCATCCTACTAGCGAACCTAATAGCAATGGCCTCAAACCTAATAGCAATGGCCTCCGACCTACTAGCAATGGCCTCAGCCTACTAGCAATGGCCTCCTTCCTAATAGTGAAGGCCTCCATCCTAACAGCGATGGGATTTTGGCTAGCTGGCAGGCTGGCACACCTCACCTCATCAAGGTCTTCTTGCTGCTGAGGTCCTGTGATGAGCAAAAGGCACAAACTTTGTCGCAAGAAAGTCAACTCTATGAGTCCAGTCCTTTTCATCATACGCTGAATGGGTTGACCTGGCCTATTGATCTGCCAGGGGCACCAAGAGAATCATTGCCACGATTTCCCCCAGATCGTTTTGGCACCTGTCTGCAAAATGTAAGTCTTTCATTGGCAATGTGCTTTGAGTGCGGCTGACAGCACTGTGCTCAGGCACCCAGCCCCCCTTTTCTCTCCGCATGCGCCAGATCCAAAAAAGATCTTGTTGCTGTGATGGACAGCTTCGGCCAAAGTCTCTGGGCTAGTGCCACGACATCCGGCGACCACTTCCAGCACCTGTCTCATATGGCAAGGCTCGCTGCGGTCCTCCGGAACATGACTTTTAAAGACTGAAGCATCCGGCTTAGGCTTAGCCATAACTTCAAGCAAGCATTCGTGCAAATGTGTCAAATTGGTGTACGCTCCCTGGAAACATCATGGAGAACCACAGCTTTCCGGTTTGTAGAGGAAAATGGTTATATATCCAGTTTGGTTTGGGCTCATGGTCATGTCTGATTCAGGTCACGAGTCTGACATTCCTTTAAGGTCCTTTAAGTCTCTTTTATATAAGCAATCCACGGGATCCTTTTTCTTTAGTCAAAAGCTGTCCTTGATGCATTTGCCCTCTTCCCACTTTTCGGGCTTCTTCACCTCATCCCAGGTCGTCTGAATGAATCCATGGCCAGCATGGCTGGCCTTTATTCCACACCAAGGTGCATCCGTCTCCAGCAGAATGCGATCCTCAGGAAGGCCTTTCACCATTTCGAGGTTCTCGTCAGTTTTCAAAGAGCATCCGTTGACTCCAATGAAGAAACCTAACTCTAAAAATCTCTGTGCATCTTCGAGGCTTCCGTCAAAGCTATGCACAACCCCCGGGCATGCAGGCAGCTCTTTGCGGACCTTTGTCAGAAAGCTTATCAAATCACTGGCTGCCTCGCGGGTCCGACAATGTAAGAAGAGCGGCTTCTGTAGAGGGATTGCCAAGCCAAGCAGCTGCCTCTCGAAGTACTTCAGCTGAGTTTCGCGAGGGCAAAACTGTAATCGGTCGTAGTCAAGGCCACATTCACCCACTGCAGCACAGACGCTGCCCGCTCTTTTTGCTACAGCCAGCAAATTCTCTAAGTAGGATTCAGGGTCGTTTGTATGCTCGAATTCGCAGCAGCGTGTAGGATGGACACCCACAGTGCAGCAAAGTTCTGGCCAATCTGAGGAGTTTGCATTGCGACAAAATTCTACCGCATCAAGGCTCTCTTGTAAAGTTCCAGCTGTAACCATGAGTTTGCTGACACCCGCTGAGAGAGCTCTTGTCAAAACTGCTGGCAAATCTTCCGGGTGGCGCCTCTTGTCTCTGTAGATTCCTTGAAACATCGGATCCAACATGTTCGCACCAATGTCAACCAACGGGACCCTACTTGAAGGCTCAGCCGGCTCGGCTCTCTGAGATGACGCTCCAGCCTTCACAGCTATGCGACTTGACACATAGCACCTCAAGCCACGTGCAACTTCATCAGCTGCAGCCAAGGATATCATGATCCGAGCAACTTTCAAGAGCTTGCGGCGCATCAAAGTCTCAATCTGGCAGAAGAGTTTCTAGTGCAGATGTGAGTTTCTGGTTCTCTGGATCCTTGTTGTAGAAGAAGTGGCTAAGCCTACGGGACGACAGATCCTGGTGATCCCTTAAATAGGCCAATCTTATGAAATGGAAGCTCTCGTTGAGCAGTATATTCAGCGGCCACAAAAACAACTGGATGTGGGAAAAATAAAACCAAAAAGGCATCCAAGATCGACAGGAGCTACATCTGCAACACTGCACCTCGTCAATCCTTGTGACGACGAGCCCTGCAAACTATATAAGCCAACAGAAGCCCTCCAAGTGACAGCCAATCCAGCTATTCGCATGAATTCCACAGAATTTGATTACGATATGAGAAATGATCTCCAGTGTCTTCTTAGATCTTTCCACCTGTCCGCTAGATCCAACCCAGACCCCAGCAGGCCTTTGCCTTGGCTTTACCCTTCGCCTTTGCAAACTTCTCGCGGAGGTAGGTGTCCTTAGCGGATCTATATACCAGCAGCCACCAAACCACCACCACACAAGTTCAAAGGACAAGCGTCTGTACTCTCCGCCAGGAACTCATTGCCGAGGCTAAACGGGCTGCTCACCATGGCTCAACATGCAAGAACAATGAAACCCATTCAGTCACTTCAAGCATCCAATCACAGAAACATCGCCAAGGGCTCCAAAGAGTTTCTAAAAAGCATGCAAAAGAACAGGTTGCAAAGTATGTATAGATCTGGGTCCAACAGACAAGACCAGTGAAACTAGATAAGGCTGTGGTCTGATGTGCATGAATCTTTAGAGTAGCTGCGTAGCTCTCTACAGTAGTGGCAGAAAGGTGTGCACAAGTCCAGCTTTGCATCTGACAGCAAAGCACTTCAAGAAGCCGGAAAAAGACATGTCTCACACAAACTGCAAGAAACATCAACGTACAAGATCTTCATAAAACGCCACAACCAGGCATCAGTAAGGCTGAAGCCCCAGTCGTTCATGGCCTGCATTGCTGAGTTTGGAGCACCGACCTCAGAATTGCTACCACCCGACAGACTGTGGACTTGCTGCAGCTTCCAGAAAGAGCAAGAACCAATTCCTTTGCCTATGTGAACAGTGTAGTGTTGTACATAAGCTTTAAGCCATGGTTCAGAAGTTCTGGATGCAAAACTCAATTCATAAACACTGTGATTGGCCCAAAAACCCTCAGCCGCCCATCTTCACACAAACAAAGCAAAGTGACTATCCGTGCATTAAGGCGTCCAAGCAAGACTCTGGACGATGTTCCCATCAAAATGGCGGCGCTCAAAGTCATCGCCCCACTCCTCACTACTTGAGAAAAACCAAACCAAAAACTCAAAACTGCCAAGTTCCCAAGACTAGAAAAACTGTTGACCATCATCTTTAAAGCACTTCCCGCAATTGTTCTTGATTGTTCAACACTTTGGCACTCTTGTCTAGGCCGCTGACATTCATCTTTTGCCATGTGTTCCGTAGCACTCCTCCCGCCTGATGGGTCAAGCCGAGCTAAGAGGTGCTCACAGGAATAGGTGGCATCTGAGACTCTCAAGTAAGGAAGGCGCTGACCATCTGCGTTCTCCTTGAAGCTCTTCTTCAGTCCTCAAACTAGTCAGAAGGCTGGCAAACAATGATTAGAATTAAAAGGCCGGAGGTCCTCATACTCGACATTGTTTAACAATGGCTGCAGGAGATTTCGAAGCCATTCAGAGCGGTGGTGATAAAGCAGATTTGGTTTTGACCAGGTTTGACCTATTGACCTGTTGGCCAGGGGATGCCATGGTTTGTCATCCATTTCAACAACAACAACAACAACAACAACAGCAGCATGGAAACCCAATCTGCAGCTGCTAAGCGGACTCAGCTGCAAAATGGCAAGCAGTTCTTGTAGAATCTCAGGCTCTTTTGTACAGTGTACAGGAAATTGCTGATTTGGTCCCAAAATAGCTGCAATTCTGTGAGACTGAACTATAAAAAGTAGGTGTGACAAACTATAAAAAAGAACTGCACTCACCGATATAGGTGCAATACATTGCATTTTTTCTTGTCGCACTGGTGAGACGTCATCTAAAATAGTCTGTGGAAATGTTGAATGATTCTACACCAATCCATAAACCATTGTGAAACGAGCTATGGGACTGGCCGCACAGTTCGCAAAACTAAAGGCAGAACCAAAAAACAAATAAATGTTCCTACTAGTTTCTCAAATACACCATCAGTTAGCTAATGGCCAAACTGTCAGCTTGAATTGCAAAGTGCTAGCCACGGCATTTCTATACGAAGTTGCCAAAAACACCAGCAGAAAGTTGCTTGGCAACTACATCTGGCTAGTGACAATACGAAAGTTTAACAGTTTGGCACTAAGTTGAAGAGTGAAGAATCAGAAGCGGCCTGAGCGATTCCTCGAGTTCTTGAACATCTGGAGCTGCAGGCGACGCTCGTCATCAAAGGTCGAGAGGATCTTTTGAGCTTCTGTCATTGCAACCTCTATATCCCTTGGTAGCCGGTCTTTTGCAAGCTTGTTGCGAGACCGCTTGCGATGAAGAGTTTTCATTTGAAGCTTGCGTTCCTCTTCAAACGCAGCTAAGCACCTTTCTGCATCTGTCAAGGCAGATTGAACTTCATCTATGGTGCAAAGGCCACGGAACCTCTGTGACCCAGTCAAGGAAAGCCTCCCTGTCTGCCCAAACGATGAGGCAGTCTCAAGCGTGCTTGACTGAGGAGAGCTGTCTATTTGTTCGTAGAGCATCGTCAGACTGCTGTCGGGTGCAGCAAAAGAGAAGGATTTGGCGTCCTCTGTCACTGTCTGCTCCAAGTCATTGTCTGAGCTTAAAGGCTCAGCCCTTCCTCCTTTCTCTACCAATGTTCCGGCTCGTGCCAGAACACTCTTGAGAGAATCTTTGATTCCGGCATCATGGGCTGCTCTGCGGGCAATTTCTTCCAGTTGTCCTGGACTGCTCCCTGCCTGTTTTGCAGCCGAAACTGTAGCCTGGACCTGTGCATCAGGCGCCCAGCCCGCATTACGTGCAGTCTGGGACGCAGCACATGCTGCAACTGCACTTGCCAATTCATTTCGACCTCCTTCTCGAAAGACATAGAAAGCTGCAGCAGAACCCGCTGCTGATGCCTGCTCTTCATCAAGTTGCAACGCCTTACAGCTGTGTATGCCCAGGTTGACAGCTGATGCAAAGAGTGTTGCATCTCCTGTAAGCTGTTGCAAACTCTCTGGGTCAGCTGTGCCAGGACCCAGTTCACGAGCGACAAAGGTGGTTGCTTGTTCTGTGGCATGTTTCCTGTCATCAAAATCCTGCGAAGTGGCATATGCTGCCAGGGCTGCCGCCTGGAGCTGCTCCGCAAGATTTCCAACATGGACTTCAGCAGCAGAAATTGCAGCAGCTTTGGCACGTTCTGAGGCAGGCAATGTGGGCACCACTGCAAGAGCTGCTCTCCCAGCAGCTACACTTTGCTCGAAAATATTCAGCGCAGCTGCTCTTGCCGATAGCCCGGCCGCCTTTGCCGCACTTTTAGCTTTCTCGAAAGACCCTTCCACGTGTTGGGCAGCCTCTATTCCAACACTCACTGCCTGTGCTTCGAAGTCAAAGGTGTAGACTGGCGCATCGACATCGCCTTGAACTGCCTCTGTCAGCACGCCTATCACAGCCTGCAGGGGTAGGGAAATGCATCTCTCGATACTGTTTCAAGATCTTGAAACATGTTTCAAGTGTTTGTTCATTGACGGTGTATATAGATAGTTGCGGAAGCTTGCTGGCCAGACTGTCATCTTCACAGCCCTTTCATCCAGTAAAGATTCGCAAACACCATTGCCATTACCTATCAAGTGAATTGCCTGCCTACTTTCATGCATGGAAGGTACAGTCACGACATGAGAAGAGCGACCTGAAAGCCTGGACACAAGTAAAGAAAGCCCAAGCAGGAAGGGGCCGCACTTGGCAAAGCATCTGCACATCTTAAATTTCTTGTGGTGGTCAAGGAATCGCAAGTGGAACTGGGGGGGGTAACGCAAGCGTGTTATGCTCAAGAGTTACAATTGAGCAGCCAGCTCGAAGCAGGATGTGCACAGCCAAAGCCAGGTATGATGGAAGCGATAGTATTTGAGTAAAGCGCTTCTTGAGTTTATACACAAGTCACAAGTGGTTCTCTGTTCAGTTGGCTTTCATGCAGGTGCTAGCAGCAGCTATCAACATGACAATGACCTCCGTTTTCGTGCTGTCCTTTGCTGGGTGCATGCTGGTTCTTGTGGTTGAAGTCCTTGTCAAAGGTTTGGCAAGTGTGGGTGTGGACGGTTCCCCACCTGCTTGCTGCTGGGAGTTTCGGGTTTGCCAAACCACCCTGCATCTTGGCCCCACGCCCAGGCTGTAGTGGGCTTGCAATGCCGATCACATCTGATTTTCCTCTGATGCAGTTGAATTGTACATTGCCTAATGGTCGATCTTTAATCATTCCCATATTCACTGCAGCACTTAATGCTCTTGTGTTCCAGTCTCACAATGGCGATGCTTGTCTAACGAAGGGAAAATGGAGGTGCAAAAGTAGTCCTTTTTCCCATTGTTGCCACACATTTTTGCTAGTTTGGTTTCTATATATATATATACATACTTCTCTGATGTAATCCTTTTGTATTAAACCTGGTCCAGGGGGCATTGCTGGCACAGCTGCAAACCTAGTTTCTGTGTGCTGGAAACTTGTTGCATCTTTGGAACACATTCAGTCTATGGCATTCATCAGCACGACGATAATTGCGAATGTGAGCACAATACGACAGAACCATTTGTAAAATGGAACTAGACGTTCGCTTGATGCATGTGAGGTTTACTGAGAACACAAAGCAAACACAGTCCTCGGAATCATCTTGAACTTCCCGTGCAGCAGGACGAGTTGAACGCAGGACAATACCCTTTTGCTGGATTCCTTTTCTCTGCGGCTTGGGAGAGATAGCCTTGACTGTTGCACGGATTGTAGGACGTTTGACTGATGCAGGCACAGCTTCAGCTATCTCACACTCAGACTCGACCTTCTGTGCTTCAGCCTCCTCCTTTGAATGGCATTGAAGTGCTGCTAGTTTGGTGAGGAACTGTCTCCTCAAAAAGAGCTCTGGCAGCACCACATCCTCTGGACGCTCCCACATGGTCTCATTCGTTTCGCTGTTGAAGAAGTACTCCATATCGTCTTCATCTGTGGCAGCATTCCACTTTGCAATCTCGACATCTGCCTGCGCATCCCAGGTGCTACCCCACATAGAAATGTGGTCTGCCTGGCGTGATTCTGGCAAAGTAAAGTGGTGGCGTGCAATGCCAGCAAGCTCCTGCAGAACAGAATTCAAAGGATGCTGCCAGGACGTAGCACCTGTTGACTTTTTCACAAAGAAGAAACGGTTGTTCAACTTGTCATGCCAAACCTTCCAAGGCGCCGGCATCGGTGCTCGTTTCAATACCGACTGGAAAACTCTAAGCAAATTCTCCTCCCCAGGAACGTTTACGATTCCTTGGGTTGTCAGGTAATACTCCCAATTGTCATCAAGCTGCGCAACATCTGACAGCTTTCGAGATGCCCTTCTTGTTTTCGAGGTTCTTTGTCTGGTCCCTGAAACATCATCACTTTGTGGAGAGGACATGGTGGATGTCACAGTGGTAGCTGTGGACGGCTTTGTCGATCCACTATCCCTTCGAATGGGAAGCTGTGGTAGCAGCGCTGGTTCTGCTCTCCTTTGATCACTGACTTTTTCTTGATGAGAGAGACTTAGCTTCTTCAAGAATTGCTTCTTCAAATAGAAAGCAGGCAGCACTGCGTCAACAGGACGTTCCCACATCACATCATTTGTTTCAACGTTGTAATAGTATTCTCTGCCATCCTCGTTGGCCGTCTGCCATTTTAGGATCTCCGCGCGTGCATCACTGTCCCAGGTCCTATTCAGCGCAGCCAAATGCTCAGCTCTCATGCCAAATGGTATTGACAAAACCCTTCTTCCAACTTTGGCGAGGTCCTCCAAAAGACGGTGCAAAGGGTGACTCCATTGTGTTTCGCATGTCGTGGTGTTGGTAAAGAACAGTGTCCTAGTGGTCTTGTCAAACCACATGCTCCACGGAGCCGGCAACGGGGCTCCTTTGAGTGCAGATTGGAACACTTCGAGAAGGTCTTCATCTGCGGGAAGAGAAAGAACTCCGCGACTCACCAAGTAATGTTCAAAGCCTTCCTCAGTTGGATGCTGAGGACCTGCTGCTTGACCTCCTCCTCCCCCTCCTCCTCCTCCTCCTCCGGGAAGATTTGCAAGTTGGGAGGGTTTGGACTTTGGATCAAAGATAGGCTGTACAAACTCCGGCTTTCCAAAGTTGGTATTCAGATTCTTCAGGAATTCCTTCTTCAAGTAAAAGCCAGGGAGCAATGCGTCTACTGGTCGCTCCCACATCACAGCTTTGGTCTCCACATTGTAGAAATACTCCACCTTTCCTCCATTCCTATCATCAAATGCAGAATGCCATCGCATAATCTCTGCACGAGCTTCAGCCTCCCAGGTTCTATTGAGAGCCGCCAAAAGCTCAGGTCTGCTTGAAGGAGGTAGTTCCACAAATCTGCGGCCAACAGCAGCAAGCTCTAGAAACAAATGATGCAAAGGATGAATCCAAGATGTCTCCCCCGTAGAAGAATTTGTGAAAAAGAATGCATTCTTCTCCTTGTCACACCACATGCTCCATGGAGCTGGCAGGGGCAATCCACGCAAGGATAATTCAAAGACATGCAGCAGCTTCTCCTCTCCAGGACTCAGCACATTTTGGACTCGAAAATATTCGCCCCAGCTCCGCTCAATCATTGAGAAGAGCTTGTCTTGGGCCAAAACACTGAATTGTTCAAAGCCCCTGTTCCATGAGCAATCGTCTGCACTCTATCGGAGGCATGAGGCCTGAAAGAGTCATGTGTGCAAACATGCATAAGCAACAAAGTCTGCAGCGGACAAAATCATGCAACTTTGTTCCAAGGAGTCATGCAACAAAGTCTGCAGCGGCGACCTACCGGTGAAACTTGGGGAGCACACATCCAAACTGCGCGATGCATGGCACTTTTGCAGCACGCATCTAGTGCAAAAAAACCGGGCTACATTGGCTACATAAGTAGATTTTTCTGCACCCAATACCTGGGCCTAAAACCTGTGGTGTGTCTGACAAAAATGCTTCGGGCTTCCCCATGAAGGTATCCCAATCACTTTTGGAGGCGATAAATCCAAAAATGCTGTGACTTCACACGTTTCATTGCACAGTGTCGATTCGCCTCCAAGTCTCTCTCACTTTTTTGGAGCTTGAAGCATGGCTTCTAATTGCTCCTGCTGTGACAACTCCGTGCATTTATCTTTGAAATCTGGCTGACAAAATGAATCAACGCATCTCATTCCGCTTCCGATACCAAAAACATCTTTTTATATTATAGCAAACTCAACCTGAGGGCACTAGGTTTTACTGGATGGAAGCAAGCTCACAAGTTTTACTTGAAAGTGTGATGGGAGTCATTATCGTTTTGAAACACATGTTGGAACACAGCGGACCTGGTGATTTGTGTGGGTGTAACGTGCTAATCACATAAATGCATTGTTTGCTCTGCTTTCTGTGGTCCTTTTCTTATTCTTTTGGCGGGCGATAGGCCGTAGTATCTTGAGTTGCTAGTAGTAAGAGGTAGCTACTAAGCTTAAGTAGCTAGCTACCAGTATGGTATGGACGCAGGACACCTCACGCTTCTATTCATTTGGCTCATAGACTTGGAGGGAAACTTAACCAAAAGAGCGACTTTGTATAGAGCAGGGGGCTGGAGTGTGCTTCAAAAGTCTGCGAACAACGAAAACGCAACGACGCCGGGACGCTGGCAGTTACGTACATGCATTTCTTTTGTTGAAAGGCACGCAGCAGAGAAACGCACCACGTCCACTTCTATGACTTTGTTGAGCAGTATATGCTGTTGGGTCACGTGAGTACGCTTGCAACTCCTTGGCATACACAAACAGAATGCAAACTACAGGACAATTGGTGCACTGAGATTTCACAATCGTGGCTTCCTTTCGCTGAGCGTTCATCTTCTTCAGAATCTCAACCTGAATATGCAAACTGTAATATTCGGTGTTCGGCACTGAGTGAATCTCCAAGTTCCGAAATCCTTTGCGGAAACACTTGTGATCCCTTCCATAAAGGCGCCTCTTCTTTGTGCTTCCTTTCTTCCTGCTCACGACGTTCTGCCTCATGCTTCTCGATCTGCGTAATCTTGTTCTCCAACTCCTGGCTTGAGCCACTCTGAATTGTGCCCTCTCTGTAGGCATCGATCAAACTATCCGTGTATCTCAGCTTGCCTGCACTCATTGTCATGAATCAATGTTTGACAAGGTTGTCATTGAGTGGACAGTAGCGAGGGCAAAAGTGCAAACTCAAATGCAAGGCAACAACTTTGGTGTCACATCATTTCATCTGTTTCAGTGCGTTTCAGCAAGTGCTGTCTCTGTGTACCTTGCTTTTCTGGCAAAATTGCTATTTTCTGTGATGGGTATCTCACTGGCTTCTTGGAAAGGTCACATGTCATAGCCATAGCTCAAAATGTTCTAAACATGTTGCATGCTGCATTGCTTCACTGGACTAAACATTCAAGCGAGCTAAATTAGCCGTCTATTCATGTTTTCCATGTTTGTCTAACTTTGGTAGCTCTTCCAAAATAGGGCGAACAACACAATCAAGTATCCATTGATTTCTTCCAAGGTGGTTCTGAATTGGAAGGCAGCTGGCCTCTACCTCATCTCGCAGCTTCTTGTTGGCAACTTGCAGGTCCTTCAGCTGGGCTTCATCAAAATGTTCAGGCTTTAAAAAGGTGAGCTTTGCTCATGCACGCGCCGCTTCATCAAAAATGTTCTGTCTATATTCTACTATGCTTCCTTCATCTTCTTGTTGTGTTGGTTGCGTCGCTGCTCCGCCTGCAGTGCCTGGACAAACTTGCGGAAACAACGCCTCCAACATGGACTTTCCTATGTACAGAACTTCCAAGTTCCTTGGTATCAGGTTGTACAATCAACAGAACGCCTTATCACATAAAACGGCTCAGTTGCGTGGAATCAACAATTCATTGTTCAATCCATCTACAGTATCGCTTCGCCTTGCGCATGCCAAAGGCAATCGAAGACTCGTAGAGGCTTTGGTAGGCGCAAATGGTCATCCTGGAGCATTGCACTTGGCGAAGGGCCTCTTCTTCAACTGCTAAAGAAATGCAGAGCGCAACTGCCTGATTTCGTCTCGGACACGAAGCAGCAACAATCCACGCTCAGCGCAAATTATGGTGACCTGCAGTGGACGACAAAAAAGGAGACAGTTCATCACTGCAAAGTACTAATCAGCTTGTCAGGATGCCTGTCGAATCAGCTCATCAAAGCATTGCGAATAGAGCTCCTTCAGACATCACATTCTCTGACTCTTAAGTGTGTGCGTTCCAAGCCAACAAGTCTCCTCACGGATGGGACATATGCCAGTCTCACGAGCCTCATCAAAATTGCAAAGGTGAAAGAAACATGCAGTTATCTGTAAAGAGTCTAGTCTAGTCTAGTTATATATATCAAGCTACTTGGCCAGGACAGGCGAGTACTCATAATGTTCCTTTTTAGGAAATTGAAATCTGGTCAGCCTGTCTTTGCTGCAGCCACTTGTCTAGATCTTCTTGAAGATTGACTACATCCGCACCTGAAGTTGACGCCAGGGAACAGATTTTTGCCATTACATGATCTCGAAATGGCAAAGCATCTCAGCTGAGGGAACCAACGTGTGGCTGGCGTGCTGGACACGTACTGCACCTCAGCAGCAAGAAATAGGTGTTTCTTCCTTTGTGACTACAGCAATTCTGGAATCGGCACCCAGAGTTGATCCTCCTGCGTCCACTCTCTCGGTGGAAGGATGGAGTTGAGGATGTCCTGTCACAACCAGGTCCGTTCGATTCAAAGAGAGCAATGCAGTATGATTCAGTATCATTGTATATACAATTCTATAAAGAACATGGACTTACTTGCAGGCCACTTGAAAAACAGCCAAGCCTCAGTCTGAGACATCGCAGGTTGAGCATCTTTCTTTCTGTCCTTCCACTGCAGCAATGTAAACATTGTGTGTGTGCGTGTGTAATGGGAAAGCAAACTTGTGACCAGTTAGAAAGGTCAATTGTTCTAGGTCAATTCTGATGCACTACAGAACTTTCGGAAGAATGTCTATAATGACTTGGCTTGTGGAACTGAAAACAAAAGCCTGCCAGAAGGGTTGCTTCATCCAGCCCTCCTTCACCGCTTGAACACACACTTTTTCCAAATCTCCTTGTCCTTCTTGCTTTTGGCAGCACCTGTGGTGCTGATCAGGATGGGAGTATTGTACCTTGTGCAAAGCCGTTGCTGCAACTTCTGCAAGACACACAAGACACACGATATGCGCACTTCACCAATGATGCTTGCATCTTGGCCTCCGAAATGCAAACATTTTAGAAGTACTTTCAAATGCGGTACACATTTGCTTTACAAATGCAGCCAAGAAGCTGAGCCGGCTCTTAAAAAAGGCAGCTCTTGTTTGAACAAAACGCTGCCGCCAAAACGCCATCGGAGATATCAAAGGATCAAGTGTTTGTTTATTAATTTTTTATTCTTTTCTTCTTCTTGTTTTTTCTTCTTATTGTAATTACTGTTATTCTTCTTCTTCTTGCGTGCCATAGGTATGGGGGTGAGAAAAAAACGTGTAAATGCCGCACCGGTAGGCGCCCCACATGCCCATCAGCACAGCAAACCGGATAGGAAAAGCGCAAATTAGAGAATCGAGTTAGTTTCGAAGTCCAGGTTTCGACCTGGTAAAGGCAGCTTTCAACATTGTTCCCTGTTGGCTCGAGGATTTGATTCAGCTGCTCTGGAGAGCTATTAGTCAACTTCGCTATATGATGGATGGGTGTTGTGAGTCCACTGTTTGCGTGGTCTGCCAACACGTCTGAATAAAACTTAGATAGGAGAGGCCGAAACGTTTTTGAAACTCACCATTCTCATGGGTTCATTATCTTGGCGAAGAATTTTACCAGCTAATCCAGACCTTCGAGTCTTCAGGGTTTCTTGGATGGGTACGATTTTACTTCCACGGTCATTTCTGGAGATGTGGAGATTAGCTCTTCTGAAAACTTCTGCGTTGGTATTGGCATGATCTACATGCGTGGGAACCATGCCCAAAATCGGTCGTAAATTTCTTGATTGAAATGCTTCCAAGCGGGAAAGAAACCAGCTGGAATCTCCAGGGTCTCAAGAGCATAGAGGAGTAGCAACAATAAAAATAGAGTTTTGCAAAAGGCTGTCCGCGTGTGAAATTTAAATGGCATCTCACGATTGTGACAAAGTGCGTGTTCCATGTTACATTCCAAATCCAGGATGTTTCATGTTTATGGAATCTTCACATGTCAAAACAATCCAAACACATTCGTGTTTGGTGCCTTCCTTCACCACTCGCCAAAATGGACGACAATGAAGTGTTCATGGTTCAACAACCATCCAAAATGATGATAGAACCCAAAAGGTTTTTGAGCAGTTCCCTGAATCATCTGCAAAGTACACAAAACATGTTCCACATGTTTTGTCGTTTCAACAAGAAAACATGCATCATGAGTGAAGAAATGTGCAGATGCAAGGTTGCGAAACACACATCATGGGCATTTGCTAGTTGCACGTTTAAAGCAGATCAAACGCACTGCTGAATATAGCAGCTAGCAATTTCCTCTGCACACATACAGTATTTATCAACACAATTGCAAAAACAAAACCAACGGTCAAGGGAGACATTGGAACCTGTGCAGTGAAAGTGAAATCGAAGAACCGTTCGATTGAAACATTGCAGTGGACCTCCAAAAGTATCATTGTGTCTTCAGGTATTTGCGCGTTTGTGTGTGTGCGTGTCTCATGATGTTAAATCATTACAAAAACAAGGAAAAACAAAAACAAGGACAACCAAGAACATGACGACAACAACCACCACAACAATGATAGTAACAACAACAGCTACAAACAAAAATCTAGGGATACACCCATCGGCCCGCCCAACCTTTCATATCCAGTCAAACAATGAAACGGTCATCCGTCCAATGGCAATGTTGTAACATTAGTCATCAGTGTCAATCATGTGAACAATCTTGCGACGTGGGTGACAACATTTTTGCATCTTTGCTATGAACCTATGAACCCCCCAAGACACAGAACAAACAGGAACATAACTTCTATTTTTGAAAAAACAACTGTGAAAGCCAAAGCCAATGACGGCAAATTGCCGTCCCACTTGAACGGTTCGCTCACCTTTTGAAAGCGACCCGACCGGAAAATGACTCAATCAACAGGACGACAGATGGCCCGGGAGTGTAGAAGGAAGGGTTCTGTGGAAAAGGGTGTGCGTAGTAAGAGATGTGTACAAACACAATAGAAAGTTGTTTAGCTGCGTTTGCATGTATGCTACAAGATGCTACAAGTACACACGCACCTCGCAGGCTTCTAGTGTTGTTCCTGCGGATGTAGTAAAATGAGACTCGTGGACAGTCAATGAGCAGAGTCAGAAGCTTTTGGCTCAAACAGTACATGAAAGTAGTCTGCCACACATGGAGCTCGACGACTCATCCAGGCTTAGCACTCCCCCTGAAATGGAGCCGGTCATGGACTACTCCTTGGTACTGACAACGCTCTCGGGGGTGACTATCAAGGTCTCTCTCAGTGTGGCAAAGTTTGATCGATTTGAGGATCTAGAGGACCAGGTTATGGACTATCTGGCCTCAGTTACTGACCTTAAAGTGTTTGGGTGCTCCATCGACTTTCTGCAAACAGCCACGCAGACATACGTAGAGGACCCAATCTGGGACAGGCTACAGCAAGGCACGGCATACAGCATTGTCTTCAGGGATAGCAGTGTAATCCTGCCATCGCAGGAACAGCTTGAAGGATGCCCTATCCATCATGTTCCGCTTGCTGTTCATGTCCCCATGAACCCAGAAGAAATCGTCCCGGAAGGGGCCTTTGCAGGGGTTCCGCGTCTGCGACATGTCAGTGTTGAATCAGGTATCAGGCTCATTGGAGCAGAGGCGTGGCAAAATTGTCGGCAGCTCCGCATAGTCAAATTGCCGGCCACTGTTGTAGGCATTTCCGATAACGCCTTTCGCGACTGCAAACTACTAAACAGTGTCTCGGCTCCTGGTTGCCGGGAATTTGGATACAAAGCCTTTCCGGAATGCTGCTCCTTACAATGGCTGTATGCATCGGAAGGGGTTGCAAATAGGTTCAGCAACGAAGCCAAGCTCGGGCATTATCTCTTTCAAGGGTGCATCAACCTTGCTGAGTTTACCTTGAGTGCGCTTCCATCCCCCCGAGGGTCAACACTGCAGGCCGGGACCAGTGAGCTGGCACCAGGCTGTTTTAGCTCTACGGGAATCACCACACTTGCTCTCACGAAGTATTTTACAGCTATCGGAGCGCATGCGTGTGACAGTTGCCGACTGCTTAAGAGTGTTGACCTCTGCAACTCCAACGTTGAAGAAATTCCGGAATTCACCTTTGTGCACTGCACTAGCCTCAGAGAAGTTCTCCTTCCGCCTACTCTCCATACAATTCGAGTTAAAGCCTTCATGAACTGTGCAGCCCTTGTTGAGCTTGCCATCCCGCCCTCACTAAAATACATTGGAAGTAGGGCTTTCTTGGATTGCACTGCCTTTAAGAGGCTCGCCAAGATGCCAGGAAGGCACAAATGGCGAGGAGTCTATGCAGAAGAGAATGCTTTTGCCATTTGTCCAGATATGAGGTGGCCACCCTGGCTGCATATGATCCCGGACATGGGATACACCCCTGGTCTTGGATGAAGACAAGCCTCTCTGACCACAGCTATCGCGGTATCACTGTCACTCATCAAGAGTCTGGGCGCGCGCCTTAGCTCGAGTCCAGAGAAGGCCAGAAGCCACAGTAGGCCAAATACCACGAGTAGAGTTAGCTTCTGTTGCAAGCATTTTGGCACTAAAGCGTCCGAATAGCGTCGCTCCGTGACAAGGGAGGGCGCAGCTCAATGCCCTAGCAATCGGCTCGGCCAGAGCCGGACGCAGCGCACCCAAACCGATGCTTGCCGGACTGCTGCTTTCTGAAGGCGGGCATTGTCGCACTTGCCTTGCCGACAGACTTCAACAGGATAGGCTCCACCGCCTGTGCGAGCCGCCAACAGCTCAAACAGTTGATCCGTCCCAAACTGAGGATCACGGAATAAGAAGCCTTCCACAAGCGTACCTCTCCACAGGAGGTTTCCGCTCCTGCTTTACGCGGCGCCATGCGCTTTTGCAGGTAGTACGCAATTTCGAGCGATACGCAAACAAAGACAAAGCAAAACATGGCGAAGGACATATGCCCTTGACAAAAGTGAGTAACTCGACTAGTCCGAATGGCACTGAGTTTTGCCGGCCGATGCCAGTGATCAATGGAGAGAAGACTTTCCAGAACCTGCACCAAAGACCAGCAATGCTTTCGCAGCGGGAATGGTGGATAAGCACACCGCCAGTACAAACACTAAGTGGATCGCCAACCTCTTTTCGCCATTCGCAATACAGTGAGCCAATAGGAATGAGAGCCTTAGCTCCTCGTTCCCAACAGGCGGGTGGTAGAGAGTGGCAATGGAGGATGCCCAGGGGGAACCTTAGTTCCCTCTGTTGATGTCCGACATTTCCAATTTTGTACAAAGAGGTACAGATACGCTAGGATAGGTCCAACGTCTCACCTGTTTCGCACGGGCCTTGCACGCAACAGAACAATTTTTGCAATGACGCAGCATTTCACGAAGTTTGGGGACACCCCGTTTTGGCACCTCTGTGTGCCGAAGGGTGCCGAGATGACCTCCCTTCGGGGGGGTGTGCCTTTCGCACCCTTACCTGCAGGCTTGCTATGGCCGCCACTGTCTGAACACTACCAACTACTACGCCTCTTGACTTGTAAGTGCAACCAGTTGAATGGGTTGTGCTACAGGAAAGGTATTTTCCACGGCATGATCTGCATAGCAACCACTGATCCACTTTGATGGGGATATAACCGGCGTTAGAGCATATCAATGCTCGGGACCTGCATCGTGACCATGTTTTTGCCACACCGTGCAGTGGCCGCTGGTCACTGGTAATTGAGATGTGAAGTCCATTTGAAGACTTCTTGGAGACTTTGCTAGAGCACAAACCCTCGCTGCCATGCTCTTCGTTCGAGAATTCAAGCCCATCGATAGTCAGTAGTCTTCGTTTCACTTGTTTCACCTTAGCACAGAGGAAAGACTACAGGATGGTGGAGACTCGGCCTTTGGGCTGTGGTTGGCGGTTGTTTTTTGTTGTTGGGTTGTCTTTGTCCTTTTCTCCACCATCTGACTGTATTTCCCTTCCTTCAATGATGACCTGGGCACCATGCCCACACGGCGTCCGTACTCGTGGAAAAAACTAGACGACGAGTGGCCCGAAAGCATTTTTCATCACGTAGGAAATCAGAGTGCGAGTTATCCGGTAAGTGTGTAGTGAGAAGTGTTAAGTCGAGTGAGTTGAGGTAGTGTGTGGGTTTCTGTGCGTGTGTCCA